CTATTGTGTCCTTGTCACACACTATATTTGCATATAGTCATGAGGATACAGAGAAAAAGACAAACAGCTACAAGGAGCTCCCCACAGTCTATCAGGAAAAGAGAAGAGTCAGCAAACACAGTCCATGAACGTAGCCAGGGGAAGCAGAGTGCACAGAGGGGAGGGGCACTGAGCCGGCAATCTGGGGGCTCAGAACAGGACTCTTTTTTTTTTAGCTTATCTATTATTATTATTTTTTAATTATCAAAGATTATAATTGTCCAATATTGAGAGGTATAGGATAAAATACAATTATTGGAGGACAATTGCTCTGCAATATTGTGTTAGCCTCTGCCACACATCAACAGGACTCAGCTACATATATCCACTCTCTCATGAACCGTCTCCCATCTCCCTCCCCTCCCCACCACTCTAGGTTGTCACAGAACACTGGGTTGAGCTCCAGGACAGGATTCTTAATTTGAGTCTGCAACTAAACTCATCCTCACAGTTGGACCAAAAGCTCTTAGTATCAGGAGCCCAGAGCTGAGCCCATCAGTCTTGAGTCGACTAAAGATCAAAGTTTGATAGTTCAAAAAGCAGCAGTGACAATTCTTTTTCCCTTTCTTTCCTCCTAGACAATGACTGGTTGTTGCCCTTTGATTCTCTTGTGCCTAATTAGATGCTGACGAAGCTAACCAGGCTTCAGTTAAACTTGACTATGATGAGTTTTACAGGATCTTGTAGACATGATAAGTGAATTGGTACCCCCTTTTAGGCTTGAGTCTGTTCAGCAACATTCCAAGGCAACAGTTAATGGAAGCTACCGGAGGCTGAGCAGGTAGACTACAATTCTGTTTATTTCTTTTATAAAAACCATGGTCAAATAGCCCAGAAATAGACCCCCATAAATATAGTCAACTGATTTTTGACAAAGGAGCAAAGGCAATACAATAAGATAATGATAGTGTCTTCAACAGATGGAGCTGGGACAACTGGACATCCACATGTGAAAAAATGAACCTAGACTCAGACCTTACACCATCACAAAACTTAACTCAAAATGATCACAGGCCTAAATGTAAAACACAAAGCTATAAAACTCCTGGAACAGAGGTCCCCAACCTCCAGGATCTAATGCCTGATGATCTGAAGTGGAGCTGATGTAATAATAATAGTAGAAGTAAACTGTGCAATAAATATAATGTGCTTGAATCATCCTGATATACCATGATGGTAATCATACCATTCGCTCCCCCTTGGTCCTTGGGAAAATTGTCTTCCATGAAACTGGTTCCTGGTTCTGAAAAGGTTGGGAACCACTTTTAGAAGATAGCATAGGAGGAACCCTAAATGATGCTGGGTATGGTGTTGCCTTTTTAGACACACCACCAGAGACAGACCATGAAAGAAATAATTAACAAGCTGGACATCACTAAAATGAAAGATTTCTGTTCTGCAAAAGACAACATCAAGAGAATGAGAAGAGAAATCACAGACTTGGGGAAAATATTTGCAAAAGACACATCTGATAAAGGACTGTTATCCAAAATATACAAAGAACTGTTAAAACTCAACAGTAAAAAAACAGACAACTTGATTTAAAAATGGGCCAAAGATCTTAATAGACATCTCCCCAGAGAAAATACACAGATGAAAAGTTGTTCCACATCATATCATCAGGGATATGCAAATTAAAACAACAATGAGATACCACTGTATTCCTATTAAAATGACCAAAATCCCAAACACTGACAACAAAGGCTAGCAAGGATGCAGAGCAATAGGAACTCTAATAACATTGCTGGTGAGGATGCAAAGTGGTACAGCCACTTGGGAAGACAGTTTGGTGGTTTCTTACAAAACTAAATGTACTCACAATCTGGCAATCACACTCCTTGGTATTTGCCTAAATGAACTGAAAATTTATGACTACACAAAAACCTGTTCACAGATATTTATAGCAGCTTTATTCATAATTGCCAAAATTTGGAAGCAACCAAGATGTCCTTTGGTAGGTAAAGGAATAAATAAACTGTGGTACATCCAGACATTAGGATATTATTCAGCATTTAAAAAGAAATGAGCCAGCAAGCTCATGAAAAGACATGAAAGAAAGTTAAACGCATATTACTAATTGAAATAAGCCTATCTGGAAAGGCTATATACTATGATTCCAACCATGTGACATTCTGGAAAAGGCAAAATTATTGCGACAGTAAAAAGGCTGTAAGGGTGTGGCAGGGAGAGATGAATAGGTAGAGCACAGAGGGTTGTTAGGGCAGTGAAAAATATTCATATGATATTATAATGATGGATACGCATCATTGTACTTTTCTCCAAACCTAGAGAAGGTATGACATCTAGAGAGAACTCCAAGGTAAGCTAACAAATGTTTAATGCTGGACTTTGGGTGATTGTGATGTGTCAGGGTAGATTCATTCTTGGTAAAAAAAAAAAAAAAAAATTACTTTCTCGTGAATGACGTTGATAATGGGGAAAGCTATGAATATATGGGGGCAAGAGGTGTACAAGAAATCTCTGTAGCTTCCTCTTAATTTTGCTGTAAACCTAAAACTGCTCTGTTAAAGGGTCAAATGAGTGAACACCAGACTCAAGGACAGTGCAGGTCATCAACTTGCAGCACTCACCTGAACAAGGTATCAAAGTAGCCAATACTGCTGCAGGAAAGTGTCTACTCTGGCACCCACAAGTACACAAAGAACAGTGCACACACACGTGTGTATGCACAGATGGGCCTATGGGTGGCAGAGTAGTTTATACAATTAAATTATTGCTGCAGGCTCCTCTTATCTCCTTGGTGCATACCTAGCTCCTTTCAACTAGATCTTTTCTTGACTAAGTAACTACTACCAATAGGCTTTCTCCCACTTCACCACACGAAATATTACTTTTAATATAAGCCCCATCCAAAAAAAACCCCAGTTAATTTGTGGTTATTTGCATATAGATTTCCCCTTTGGATGTTACTATTTGCAACAAATGTTTAATGCTAATTTTCGTTTCTTCCCTTCAGTCATTACATTTTTGAAGGGTCTCCTTTTCTTACAGGTCAATGTTTGCCTCAAAAATGGTAGCCATTTAAATTTTTATTAACCCAAGAAAGACCACAAGGATACCTTCCTTGCCTCTCAACTGCTTCATCGAAAGTCACAGTGCATTCAAAAGCCAAATATACTTGACTTTTGAATCATCCCTTGTCTCAAATATCTATCACTTTCATGACCTTTTGGATTTCTGAGATATGAGCTATAAACCCCAGACTTCGCCTCATAAGTCTCCAAACAACTTGACCTTACACGTTTACCATTCTCCCACTTACAAAATGAGGAAGCCAATCTCTTACCTACACTTTCCTCAAGGTTGTTCAGTCAAAAAGAGTAGAATCTCTGAACTATCCAGAGCCCTCTATTAATGTATGTCATCTTCAGCATCAGTTGGGGAAGTAATAAATTAATCCACCAATTTGAAACACTTTATCCATCCTGTTTCATTATTTGCGTTTACATTCCCCCACAACAAAAGACACAGAATAATCTAAACTTATTACCAATTGGAGAAAGAAATGGCAACACACTCCAGTATTCTTGCCTAGAGAATCCCATGGACAGAGGAGCCTGGTGGGCTGCTGTCCAAAGGGTCGCACAGAGTCAGACATGACTGAAGCGACTTAGCATGCATCATGGAAGGAAATGGTAACCCACTCCAGTGTTCTTGCCTGGAGAATCCCAGGGACAGAGGAGCCTGGTGGGCTGCCATCTATGGGGTCGCACAGAGTCGGACACGACTGAAGCGACTTAGTAGTAGTAGCTTCTTACCAATAGTGGAATACTGTATATATCACTATACAAATTTATTTAGGAACAGAGAGATTCCTTTGAATCTCAACATTTTCTTGGATACGCAGTCTTAAAAAAAAAAAAGCAACCATTTCTACAGTGGCTTCATGTTACAGGTCTACACACTGGCCCACAAAGAAAGAGACTGGAGAAAGAATGTTCCTGCAAAAATCAACAGTGATTCCCAGCCCACATGAGAACTCCTGTGGAAGCTAGCACAGTAGTTCACACTTTGGTATTTTTTTTCTTTCTTTTTTGTTAAAGAAGATAATATATTACAGACACATCTTCAAAATTCACACCTGAGTTAAACATTTTGCTGGAAAATTCCACATTAAGGAGAGATTAACATAATTCAAAAAAAAGGAAAGGGCTATATACAGGTATGTTGCCAGCATAATTGTTGTGTGTTTGCTTTTGTGTTCCTCCTTCTGCAACAGGAGACAGGCGAGAGGAGGAGAGAAGGAGAAACACAGGGAAGGAGAGAAGAGACAAGTGCTCCTGAACTCTGGGGCAGACAAAGCAGAGAGAAGAGCACCTGTGGGCAGAGAAATATGCCCAGGGGACTGAGGAAAGAGGAGGGAATTTGGAGAACACGATTATGAATGGATTTGGTTCTAGAAAAGGGGGCAGGGCTAAAGAGAAAGTGGGGTGAAATGAAAACTTTGCTGAACAGAAAAAAACATCAACGCTTTGGTGGAGACATCAGATTCAAATCTTTTCACAGATTCTAGAATCAGTTCTCGGACTGTGGCTAAGTTCAGAGTCAAAACCCATTCTCTCCCATCTGGTAGTTTGGCACCAGGTGAATGGCTGTGCCCAGAATGAACTGGAGACGAGCTGGAGAATAATAAAAAGTCTTTTTTCAAAGGCCACTGCAGCAGGGAAACTGTCTGAAATATTTAGAGAAGGGTGCAGGCGAGGAAGGTAAAAATGACCAACTCCTAGGAGGGATGTGCGTTTCAAGAGCGCTAGGAATCAGCACACAGTTTAATCACAGTTTGGATCTCTGGAGGCCCTTGCTCCGAAGAAGACAAGAGTTTGGGTTCATCCTCTTCCACTCTCTCTCCTGAAAGTAATCTGTCCATACAGAGAAGGCATGACTCCCTTCCTTCTGGTGGGGAACACAGGGCCAGGTGTCAGAGGAGAAACTTTTTGGTCTCAGTGGAGGTAGGTGGGATGACTCCATCGATACCAAGATCTAGAAGGAAGGAAGGAACGAGTCAGTCAGACGGCTTCTAACCACTAGGAAAGACGTGAATGAGCAGTGAGCACTAGCAGGAACATATAGGGTTTTTTTTCTAGGGGTGCTGAAAATGTTCTAGAATCAGATATGGCAACAATTGCACCATCCTGTGAATATACTAAAAAGCACTGACTTGTACACTTTAAATTGGTAATTTTTATGGAATGTGAATTATATCCCAGGACAATTTTTTTTAAATGTCCATTAATATGTTTTCCTCTCTTCTTTTTGGTGGGGGTGGTTGAGGAGCTCCAAGCTTTGGGGGTATGCAACAGTTGGCCCTTAAGAGCTGGCTGCCTTGCCAAACAGTTTGGGTTTGGACAAACGGGTTCATTTCTTCAAATAAGCTCAGGTCTTTAATTGCCTGACTTGCAAATCTCTTGTTTTGTTCTGAACTGGGGAAGAAACCTCTTGAGGCTCCACTCTGGGAACACTTTTTAGAGGAGAATCTTTGAATCAAGGCTCTGGAGGCTGCTTCTGTCATTGCATCCCGAGTGGGAGCACAAGGTTAGGATGGAGCACCCCTCCCCTCTCCCAGGGCGTCAGCTACACAGGGAAGCTCAGACTCGGGGCTGAACGCCCCCATTGCAGCTGGAACTGGCGTGAAGGGGAGTTCTCTGAAGCCCAGCGAAGGACCTGGCCCTTTCTGACAGGAGTGTTTGGAAATTTCCACCCTCCCAGTGAGGATGGAAATTTTGGCTTTGTTGACATCAGCTCCTTGCCAGGACTGGCTGAGGCTTCTCTTTTAAATCCCACTCCCAAGGGATAGAGTCCAGTCTGGCTCACCACCCCACCCTCTCCCCGCCTCCCCCGTGACAAGCCTTCTTCCCCAAGGTGTTGACCCCCAGATGCAGCTTCTCATGTGTCCCCTGGCCCTGGCAGAGGTGTCTTGGTGCTCTCTTTCCTCTGCCTTACCCTGAAGAGTTAAAACTGGAGGAGGAGTTCACGGCCGCTTTGGAGTTATTTTGAGATGCAGTGGGGCTGCTGGCCTGGAGTCCTGAGCCGGGAGAAGATGGCCTGCTGTTGTTCCCAGGGGAACAGGATGACGTTACTGAGCATGAGGAGAGGCAGAAACAAGGGGGAATTAATGAGGCGGGGTCCGGGGACCTCGTGACCTTCAGGCACGTATCCCCCAAGGGGTCTCACCCTCTCCCTAACTCCACCCCCCCCACCTACCCATCTGCCCACCTCCTATCGGTAGCATCAACACCCTGCCCCAGAGGGGCCCTCATCACACACACTTCTCCTTGGCCCAGGAGAGTGGCATGGCTGGTTCCACAAGTCCAAGACTTGCCAAACACAGGAAGGACGGATGCCAAAACCATCCCATTCCAAGGGCACACCCCGGGCTGGGTATATTCAGCCTGGGACCCAGGGGCAGAATGAGAAAGAGAACCAGAAGCTTCAGGAAGGAAGAGAGGAGGAGAGAAGGAAGAATGCTCGGAGAGGAAAAGAGAAGCTGAGAGCAGAGGTCAAGATTGCCAGCCTCTCTGGGGTTCCCATCTCCACACGGTATGTGGTCTTCCAGAAGGAGCACGGGAGGAGTCCCGGCCATCCACTAAAGAGCTCTGTGGCCTGTGGCAACTTGCTTCACTTCCCTGCAATCCCTTTGTGACCTCTATAATACAGCAAATCTGGATAAAACTGAACTCCTGTATTTGGGTTTCCCAAATAGCATTCCGTGGATAAGGTGACATAGATTTCATCCTCCAAGCTAAGATGCTTTGAAGGGTCGAAGGCAATAGTATTGATAATGACATCAACACAGGGGACCATCAGTTACTGGGACTGTCCTGGGCAAATCCAGACATATGGCCTATCTAATTCTTTGAAATGCTTTGAAATACTTTTTGAAAAATAGAGTTCTGTAGAAAATTCTATAGCTCATTTTTATGTTTAAGGCATTTGTACATAAAGTGGGCTGAGAAGTGTGGCAATTAAAACAAAAACACTTGTTCAAACTTTACCTACTCAGCATTCCCCAAACTTACTTGATCATGGAAGACTTTTCCTCCTAGAAAAAATGTTAACATCTTCTGAAACACATTTTGGGAATGCTGAGGATGAGATGATTGGATGGCATCACCGGCTCGATGAACATGAGTTTGAACAAGCTTTGGGAGTTGCTGATGGACAGGGGAGCCTGGTGTGCTGCAGTCCATGGGGTCGCAAAGAGTCAGACATGACTGAGCAACTGAACTGAACTTAGGTCAGTATCTTGCAGTTCTGTTATCCCATTATCTAAAAGAATGCTGCTGCTGCTGCTGCTGCTAAGTCACTTCAGTTGTGTCCAACTCTGTGCAACCCCATAGACAGCAGCCCACCAAGGCTCCCCGGTCCCTGGGATTCTCCAGGCAAGAACACTGGAGTGGGTTGCCATTTCCTTCTCCAATGCGTGAAAGTGAAAAGTGAAAGTGAAGTTGCTTAGTCGTGTCCGACTCTTACTGACCCCATGGACTGCAGCCTACCAGGCTCCTCCATCCATGGGATTTTCCAGGCAAGAGTACTGGAGTGGGGTGCCATTGCCTTCTCTGTAAAAGAATGCTAGTAGACCTTATTTTTAGAGCTCACCTGTTCCAGGCATGGTGCTGTGGACTGGAGGGACAGAGAGGGGGCCCAGAGATCCAGAGGGAGACACCTGAAAGGTGGAGAGAAGCTTGTAAATGTTCTCTTCCGCTTCCATCTCAGTCTTCTGGAGCTTTTCCCAGGGTGCTAGGCCCTAGACTCCACAGAGACTAGGGCTCCACTTCCTGGATGGTTTCCTAATCCCAAACCGATGCCCCACGCTCTGTGTCACAGGAAAGGCTCTGGACCACATACACCACCCAGGTCCAGCTCTGCCCTGCTCCTGCCACTCCCTTCGGACCCCAGGCCTGGCCCTCCCCGCAGTGCGACCCCTGGCAAGGCTGCCTGGGCACTGCCAGACCAAATAGGCCTTGCTCAGATGCTCTGGCGAGGAGAGGAGCTGCCTCCAGGATGCTGCTGTGGCCGACACTGCTGGGTGGCTGCTTTATTTCCAGCCCCTTCTTTCTTTTCAAAAGACCCCTGTGGGGACATCCCTGGGGTCCAGTGCTTAAGAATCCACCTTCCAATGCAGGGGATGCAGGTTTAATCCCTGGTTGGGGAACTGAGATCCCATATGCCACGGGGCAGCTAAGCTCACATGCTGCACCTACTGAGCCCTCACACTGCCTCAAAGATCCCACATGATCAATGAAGATCCTGCATGCTGTAACTAAGACCTAATACAACCCAATAAATAAACATTAAAAAACGAATAGTGGAAATGCTTATTTTTTATTTTTAAGACCCCTGCACTTGCTTGGGCAGGAGACCTCAGCCCTAACCATCCTGTCACAGGCTTTGCATCTTGATGCATGAGTGGACCATCTACTCTCTGGAAGTCCCTGGAAGAGATGAACTGCGTGAGGTCTCTGAAGCTTTGCATCTCGTCCTGGAGACCTCACAGCATCATCAACTCTGGGCTAGGAAGGGACCTTAGATACTGTAGCTTAACCTTCCCAAACAGTCCAGGAATCCCTACCCTCAGTATTACTATCCTAAATAGACATGGGGGCCCGACAGATCTGGGAGTGAGGCCTGGCTCCACCACTATCTGTGTAGCTGGGGCATGTTACTTAACCCCGCTGAAATTTGGTTTTCTCATGCGTAAAACAGCAGTAACACCTCCCTCATATTTTCTTTTAATTAAGGTTTAATAAGATAATGTCCATTAAGCTTCTAACTCAATGCCTGGCAAAGAGTACCCGGCTTGTTAAATGTTAGTTCCCTGCCTTCCTGCAGAAGTTGTCAACTCTTTTGTGTCTTGAGCTGCTGTTTACCTCTTCACTGGGGCTAAACTCAGCATACTTTTCCTCCCCCTTCATCTTCTCAAGCTGTCCTGGGACACTCGGATCAGCCTCCGCCCAGGACCTTGCAGGCAGGTTCTGCTCAGGGAGCTGTGACAGGCCACCCCTGCCCTCCCCTCGTTTGGAACATCCCGTGCCGACAGGATGCAGCATGCACTCATTTCCTAATCAGTCAGCAATGGTTCTGCTGCTTTCATTGACCTGCGCTTTCACAAGGCGCCTCTTTAGTAGGCTGGGGGCCCACGAAGGGTGGAGACAGGTGTGGGGCAGTGTGGTGAGAGATGCTATCAATAATCTCCCTCCCTTTTTTCCTCCGCCCCCCGCTTGCTGACACACCCCAAGACATTTGTTGTTGTTTTTAAATAAATAATTATTTCGTCACTGCAACCAGCTTCTTCTCTTCTATCTGGAGACAGGCTGTCACGTGCAAGCAGAGATAAGGCTCTCCCTTTAAGTTTTTTACATAAATAGTAGCATTCTGCCCACACTGCTCTGAGTAATTTTGCCTTTTTTGCTTTCTTCTTCTTTTTTTTCTGCTTAACAGTATATCTTGGATATACTGTATTTCACAGTATTTCACACAAGAAGTAGAATAAACTATGTCCCAGTCCCAAGGACAGTGTTCCAGTGAGACCTGAGGAGAAGACCAGATTAGAGCATTTTCTCTACCCTCTTCCTTCAGGACGCCACAAATACTGTTGTTGATCAGTCGCTCAGTTGAGTCCGACTCTTTGCGACCCCATGGACTGTAGCGCACCAGGCTCCTCTGTCCTTCACTATCTCCTAGAGTTTGCTCAAATTCATGTCCATTGAGTCAGTGATGCCATCCAACCATCTCATCCTCAGCTACCCGCGTCTCCTCCTGCCTTCAACCTTTCCCAGCATCAGGGTCTTTTCCAATGAGTCTGCTCTTTGCATCAGGTGGTCAAATTATTGGAGCTTCAGCATCAGTCCTTCCAATGAATATTCAGGGTTGTTTTCCTTTAGCATTGGCCGCAAGTATTAATGTGACTATTTACTTAACATCTTTCTCCCTGACTAGGCTGGAGACTTCATGAGGGGAGTGTGATGCTTGTGTGGTCCCCTGCTGGATCTTCAGCGTCTGCTGCAGCATCCAGAACTTGGCGGGTGCTCAGTATCCAATGGACGATGAGAGCGCATCATGCTCCTGTATGTCTCTTCCACGCTTCCCACTTCTTTTCTCCACATTGGTGTCCCCAGCTCGGATTGAACTGAGGTGATAGCTACCTCCCAACTATTCTAGACAAAGCCCCATCGTTAAAGATTCTGAATCTCTCATGGCATGGTTCGGTTCCCTTCACATGGCCTACAATGCCCTGCAGGATCTAACCTGCCCACTACTCCAGCCTCCTCATTCACATGCTGTCTCCCTCCCTGTGCTCCATTCCAACCTTCTGTGCTTCCTCACCCTGCTCACCCCAGCCTCAGGGCCTTTGCACACACTGTTTCCTCTGCAGAGAATGTTCTTCCCAACACCCCCTCTGCCCTGCCATCCTGCTCCCCTTCCCCACCTCCAACTCAGACCTTTACCCCATTCGAGTCTACTCTTTCTTCTGCCATCAACTTGACCATCATTCCAAAGAGAAGCCCCCAATACCTGGACTAGGTTTGGCCCCTCAAATACAAGCACGCCTTCTCTGGAAGCTTCATCACAAATTGCATTTTGTTTAATGTCTGTTGTCCTTGCTAGACTCTAAGCAGAGATCACCAATAACGGTCCTGTGCACTGCCACATCTCAGTGCCAAATAGATGGTGTATGCTCAATGAATATTTAAGAAATGAAGTGAACATCATATTGTCTCCAACTTCAAACTGTCAATGGCTCCTCATAGCCTCGAGGGTAATTTAGCATCCATAGCCCACCATGATCCAGCTCTCATCAACCTTTCTGTCTTAGGCCTAAACCCTTAGCTCCAGCCAGAGCAAAAAAGCTTGTGGTTCCCCAGATGCACCATGTTGTTTTAGAATTCGATGCCTCTCACAGACTACTCCTTCTACTGGCTATGCTGTTCTTTTTATGAACTCCCAACCTGTTCTCCAAACAAATTGGGGAGTCGGCCCTCCTGCATCCCATCCTGATTTGGGGGTCTTTCCTTGGTGTTCCCATGGCAACCCTTCAGGGCTCCTTACAGCTGCTTCACCCACTTCATTGCAATTTCTTGCCTTTTCTGGCTCCACCTTCTCATTTGCTCCCCTTGGTCCTCTTCCTTTGCCCAGCCCTCAAATGCTGGTGTTTCCCAGGGTTGGGATTTCAACTTTCTTTTTTGCTTCTTCTGTACAAATTACACAGGTAAGACCCTCCTGACCCAGAATTCCAACCACGACCTGTATGCTTATGACTCCCCAGCTCACTTCTCTATCCTGGCTTTTCCTTCTGAACTCCAGACCTATTATTTCAAGTGCCCAGGGACTTTCCTACCTGGGTGACCCATAGGTCTTACTGTATATCATAATGATGTAAAGAACTAAAATTGGGACTTCTCTGGAGATCCAGTGGCTAAGACTCTGTGCTCCTGATGCAAGGGGCCCAGGGCTTGATCTCTGGTTAGGGAACTAGATTCCACACGCTGCAACTAAGACTCAGCACAGCCAGATGAAAAAAACAAAAGGAACTGAAATCATTTTTTCCTACTCCTAAGCCAGCTCCTCCCCTATGTATAATTGTTCCATCATCAGTACCAACTTCTACCCAGTCAGTCCATCCTGAATGCAGAGAGGCATCCCAGAGTACTCTCTTCCCTTTATGGTTCTCCCTGCTCCCACCCAGTTTTCAAGTTATTAACCAAGACTTAATAAGTCTACCTTCTAATTATCTCCTGAAGCTCTCCCATCCCCCTCATTGTTAACCAAATGGCTTTGCTTCAGCCCTCATCATATCTTTACTGGATAACTGCAGTCCCATCTAACTCATCTCTGAAACCAAACCTGGTGCCTCTCAAGCACCCTCTATGACTGCAGTCAGAGTGATGGTTTTAAAAAGCAAATTTGATAATGCCAATGCCCTGCTTCAAATCTGTCAACAATTCTCCAAGCCTTCATCTTCCTTAGCCCTGTCCACAATCCCTTCCATCTGGCCCCTGCTGATCTATGCAGTTTTATCTGTCAAAAGTCCTCCACATGGAACCACCTGCTGCCCTGTGCATGCGCCCTCTTCACCCTGCTTCACACCACTGCACCATGTTTCTCCTACTTTCTCCTCTGGGAAGTCTACACCCTAGACAATTACTTGCCTCTTCACTCCTTCGTGTCTTTTTAGACTCAGCTCAGGTATTAATTATCTCCTTGGGGAAGCCTTCCCTAACCACCACCTCCCAAGGATTTGTTAGCTGCTACTCCTAAATTCTCTGAGAGAAACCATCGTGTTGTTTGTCATTTGTTTATTTGTCTGTCTCCTCTTCTAGGCAGTGAGGTCCTCTGGGACAGGGGACAAATATTATTCATTTGTGTATCCCCAGCACTCGGTACAAAGAACAATACATAGTAGATGGTTGATCAATGTTTGGTGAAAGAATAAACAATAGTATACCTTTATGAAATATGCCAGGATGAGGCTGGATTTCAGCCACCCTTGAGTGCTAAAATCATGGGACAACACCATTATCCCCACCTCCCTTAATCTTCAATCGTCATCAATCCCAGGGATGGAGAAGATATTTTCTACCCTCCAGGCCTTCCAGTCTACCTGAACTTCAAATTATTCCCAGCCCTGACTTCTCCCCTTGCTTTCTAGAGTCCTAGATATAACCATCTACTTGACACTTTCTCTTGGATGCCTAGGAAGTTAAGTCTACCTTAATAAAACCAGCTTTAAATTCTCTGCCCCTCCCCCACCCTTCAAACCTGTTCCTCTACAGTCTTCATGATCTCAAAAAATGGTAACACCTTCCAATCTGTTGCTCAGGTCAGAAACATTGAGGTCATCTTGGCCTCATTTTTCATACTCCCTGCCTGAGCTAACAGCACATATTGTTGGCTTCATGGTGGAAATCCATTTAGAGTCCAACCACATCTCCCCCCACCATGCTCTCCACCCGAGCCCAAGCTTCCCCCTCCGCATCGAAGCCTGATTGTTGTAACTCTCCCAGGTGGTATCCTGCTTCCACACAGATTAACCTCCAAATGGCAGCCTGTGGCAGCCCTCTAGTGGTATCTTATTTCACTTAAGATGAAGGTCAGGGTCCTTTTGATGGCCTCTGAGACCTTTCCTTGGTGAATGGCTTCCTGTTACTTCTCTGTTACTCCTCTGACTTCATCTCCCACTCCTCACCTCCTTCCTTGCTCTGCCCTGGTGACATTGGCTTCCTTGTTGTTCCTCAAACATGCCAGGTCTTCTCATTTTCTGGTCCCAGTACCTGGAACAACTCTTTCTCCAGATATTTATATTTCATTCCCTTTCAATACTTAGATCCCCGATAAAATCTCACTTTATCAAAGAGGCCTTCTCTCACCCCTCTACTGAAAGATCAGCTCCTTACAATCACATTCTATCTCCTTATTCTTCTTTACTTTATATTATATATATTTGATATATAGTATCTCTTTGCTTATTTATTTACTCCATACTCCCCTACCCCCATCCTCCTTAGGATGGGGAAGATTCTTGGCCCTCCAGGCTTCAGCCCCCCCAGTGCTTGGCAGGCAGTTTGGCTCCTGGCCACTCACCAGCCGGGAACCGTACATGGATGATTTGATGGGTGTGGCCACAGGGCAGTTGATTCGCTTCTCCTTTTGTCGTCGGTTGCAGAACCAGACCCTCACCACCTCCTTCTCCATGGACAACTGCTCTGCAATCATGGAGATCTCCTCAGAGCTGGGTTTGGGGTTCTACAGAAACCAAAGGGACAGAGTCATCAGGAGGAGAAGGGAACAGGACCAAGAATTGAAGGTGGGGGAGAGATATTCCAGGAAGCAGGATAGAACAATAGATGGAGCAAAAGCTTTAGAATCAGACCTGAGATGGAACAGTGGTTTTAGCCCTCACTCTGTGGCCTCAGGAAACTTTCCGAACCTCTCTGAGCCTCAGTCTTACCATCTATGAAAGGAGAGTAATAATGACTACTGTATAGGACTATTGAGACTGAAGGAGAAAATGTGTGTCAACTGCAGGGCCTGACACAGGGTGGAGGCTCTTCTCTCACTTCTTTTCCAGGAGAAGTTCTGAATGAAGAAGCTGATGGGGCTTCTGAGTGGGGCAGGCTGAGTCCCCAGAACCCATGTTCCACTCTTTCCTCATAATCTGAGGAAAACTTCTCTCATCTGGTTTCTTCCTGCCTACCTCAAAATAGGAAACAATGGAGTTAAAACATGTGGACCCATCAAGACTATAGAGGAGATAAGCGTGTGTGTGTGTGTGTGTGTGTGTGTGTGTGTGTGTGTGTGTTAGTCGATAAGTCGTGTCTGACTCTTTGCGGCTCCATGAACTGTAGCCTGCCAGGCTCTTCTAGCCATGGAATTTTCCAGGCAGGAGTACTGCAGAGGGTTACCATTTCCTTCTCCATGGGATCTTCCCAACCCAGGGACTGAACCTGCATCTCTAGTCTCCTGCATTGGCAGGTGGCTTCTTTCCCACTGAGCCATCAGGGAAGCCCATACATTTGTATACACACTCTATATATATATATATATATATATATATATATATATATATATATATGTATCTCCATCACTCCTTTGTTTTGACCGCTTCCAGCCCCACTCAATCTTTGATCTTAGCCCCCTTTCTCTCCTTTCTTACTCTTGCTGCTCTGAGAAACTTCAGCAAAAGGAAAAGCCAACTCTCATGATCCTGCCAGCAGGATGCAGCCATCAAGTCCTCAGTCACATGCGTGGGGGAATCTGCTGGGGAGGCAGCAGACCTGGAGGCCTGTGGCCTGCAAGGCAGAACTAGGCCACGGAAACATCCTTGAGGGACCTGAGTGGTGTGGATGGAAACTCTGGAGGCTGGTCCCTAAGGGACCCTGATTAAAGGCTCTTTAGGCCCCACATGTTTATCCCTCTTCTCTTCCACAGCTCCCATGGGGCACATAACTGGTATTATTAGCTTCCACATACTGACTCCAGAATACACTTTTGCTGCAAGTTCAAAACAATGTGTGTATGTAATACGATCACAAATATTTAAGTGTATGTGAAGTGAAAGTGTTAGTCGCTCAGTCATGTCCAATTCTTTACAACTCCCTGGACTGTAGCCTGTCAGGCTCCTCTGTCCATGGAATTCTCCAGGCAACAATTCTGGAGTGGGTTGTCATCTCCTTCTCCAGGGGATCTTCCCGACCCAGGGATCGAACCCAGGTCTCCTGCATTGCAGGCAGATTCTTTACCATTTGAGCCGCCAGGGAAGCAAGTGTGTGCAGGAGAAAGAAATAGAAGGACATACATAGACGATGTTTGGTGGTGAATTTTTTTCCGACTTCCCTGCATTTTCCAAATTCTTTACAATGAGTATTTATTTTATGTATATTATTTGAAAAATACAAAGTAATATGAGGAAGGTAAAGAATATGTACACAAGGCTCTGCTTCCTTTATCTCAACTGGATACAGATACAATCCTCTCCACTAGGATTCTGGATTCCAGTCTAAATCTCTCCGCTCGAGGGATCATGGGTACCAAACAGAGGTCAGGGCCAGCAGGGTCAGTGGGGGAGGAAGTTTCTGGAACCCAGCCTGTCACTCAAACGCCTGGAGAAGGAGCAGGTCTCTGTTTTCTGACCCTTTCCCAGGGCAGGTGTTGGGGGGCTCAGGGGTGGTGCTGAAGGACCTGTGCGTGTGTGCTCATCCTCCTGTGCAAGTCAGCCCACTCGCCCCCACCACAAGGATCTGCTCACATCTTGAAATCTCTTCTCCAGAGTCAGACGGATGTTGGTCTCGATGCTGGTCCGCTTCTTCCTCTTCCTCCCGAACACCTCACTGAGGGCAGGGTAAGAGTTGGGGGTGCTCATGGAGGGGTCCGATGGGGAGGACTCTGTGCAGAGCGGGAGAGGAGAGGAGGCTCAGAGAGGGGAAGGCAGCCAGTGCAGGCTCTGTCTCCCTGGACTTGAGGTCCCATGACCCTTCCCCAGCAGGTCCACAGCCGCCCCCCCACCGCTGCAGGGGAGCAGGAACAGCCCGAGAATCCTGCTTCTCCTCACTGCTCCGGGTAAAGGTCCTCCACGCCTCCCACTGCGGTGCCTCCAGTGTTTGCGGTCATGGTTCAGGGACACCCAGACATCAGCGGCATGTGTGGGTGTGAGTGGGTGAGGGCAGGGCTCCAAGTGGCACCCACGGGTCTGTCTTTTACAAGGAGGCCTGGATGTGAATCCTGAGGGAAATGGGAACTGGGGTTTTGAGCTAGAAGCAATGGCCCTTGGCGGCCGGATGCTGGTGTGAGGCCACTTCCTTTGCAGCGTGAGTGCTGCAGCTGAGGTGGCGTGAGGGCTCAACTGGGAGGGCCCTCCAGAAGCATTGAGGCGCAGACAGGGAGTCACGCCAGAAGAGATCTGCAAGGTCCTTTCCCAAAGATCCTAAGACTCTCTGGTCATCTCTCTCAGTTCAGCGCTCCAGTAAAACCTGCCCAAGGGTCTGCCTGGTGGGGATGCTTCCTTACCCCCTCCCTTGTTTCTGTGTGGAGGGACTTCCAAGAGGGTCACACCCTTGGCTGCCCATCTCCCACTCTCCTCTTTCTCCATAGTGACCACTGGGAAGTGAGTGTTAGTCACTCAGTCGTGTCTGACTCCTTGTGACCCCATGGACTATAGCCCACTAGGCTCCTCTGTCCATGGGATTCTCCAGGCAAGAATACTGGAGTGGGTTGCCATTCCCTTCTCCAGGGGATCTTCATGACCCAGGGATCAAACCCGGGTCTCCTGCACTACAGGCAGAATCTTTACCATCTGAGCCCCCAGGGAAGCCCCAGAGGAACCATTAAGCCACACTATCTACAGATTAGAGCCCAGCCCCCTCCACCCCCCACTGGCTCTGCTCCTCCCTCTTCACTGAGATCAATGTCCTGGGACGATTTTGTGCTACCCCCACCCTGCCCCTGGGGACATCTGGCACTATCTTGTGACATTTTGGATATTACAACAGGGGGTGGGCATCTAGTGTGTAGAGACCAAGGATGCTGCTAAGTAGCCTATAATTCATGGGACAGCCCCCATGAAGAAGTATTATCTGTCCCAAGATACTGCTAATGCATGGCTAAGAACCCTGTCCCATGCTGTTCCCTGACACCAAACTCTTCCGTTCATTATTCCAAATGTTTTGCCCTTGGCTTATACCCTGGGCCTCCTGGAATTGCCTCCATGGCCAAAACACCTGACTGAATCCTCCTGCAAACCCCACTCCTGCTGAAATGCTTTCCCAACCAGTCTAGCTCTCAGTAACTTGCTGCCCTCTGAAAACCTACTCAAGAATTAGCCAGATAAAGATCTTGGGTTGTGTCTGTTGCCTCCTCCTCCCAGCCATGAGACCCTGGAGAACCCCATTCCCTATCCCCCTGCTCTAGACCCAGTCCAGACAGTAGTCTGGGTGTGTTGGCTCTGCAGACCCCACCTTTGTCTCTGGTGAGCAGTCCTATGGTAAGGCTAGGCAGGACTGGAGTAGGGAATAAAATAGGGCAAGTCTTTGTGGCCACAGACCTAAAGCCATGTCCTCCATGGCTTTTTCCATAATGAAGCTGACATCTTCATCTCTATTAGCCTGCCTCCAGTGTCTTATTTTTCTGTTGGTTCCAGACCCAGGAGGAGAGGAAAGGGCCCTGTGCGTAGATCACTGAAAGCCCCAGCATAGACCAGTCACCAGCCCCTTCCTGCAGACCTTTGAAGGCAGGAGTCCCCCACCTCTGGGATCTAATGCCTGATGATCTGAGGTGGAGCTGATATAATAATAATAGACATAAACTGCACAATAAATGTAATGCACTTGAATCATCCCCAAGCCACTCCCCAACCCTGGGGTGTGGAAAAATTGTCTTCCATGAAAACCAGTCCCAGGAGCCTAAAAGGCTGAGGACCACTGCTCTAAGGCACCATCCATCATCATGTCCCCAAGGCTTACCTGCATCGTTCAGCCACTTCTCCAGCAGCGGCTTGAGCTTGCACATGTTCTTGAAGCTCAGATTGAGGGCCTCAAATCGTGAGATAGTTGTCTGGCTGAAGTCGTTACCATATAGCTTTCCCATGGCCAGACCCACATCTCCCTGCATGTGGGGGTGGAGAGGGAGGAACTTGATTGACAGGTCCCTTCTCCCCTTTGTTGACATCCCCCACCATCCTAGCTCCTGGCCACACCTTTTGAGCTCCCACCCATCACCCTGGCTCCCTTTCAGGTTTCTTCCTCCAAGATGGAGACTTGGTTACTCCTCTCCTTAGACTCTGAGTGATCTGTGCCTTCCCCTGGCCTGGCTCTCATTCCTCACCCCCTCCACCAGCAGGGGCCCCGGCTTCCCTACCAATGGCAACTGTGCCCCATTGTTAGGGGACACAGGGGCACAGTGGATTTGCCCCAAACACCATGAGCTTGAGTTGCTCTCAAGACTACACTTAGGAAGTCTAGTCTCTACTCAGCCCAAGTTCTTCCACCTCCTCAGTCCCAAACCAAACCTGTGTGAAGCCCAGCTTAATGCGCCTCTGCTTGAAGGTCTTGGCAAACTTCTCCAGCTCCTCCAGGTCACTGGGCTCGTCAGCTCCTCCAGCGCTGGGGAGATGCTTGGGCACCGGGAGATGCTGAGATGCTTCCAGATGGGGTTCTAAAGAAGATCCTGGTAGCCCAGAGCGCCCAACTGCCTAAGAGGAGACACACACCAAGCTCACCCACAAATAGTCAACAGATGAAATGGCATTCTCTGAGCTTTTTGCACAAAAGGCCCGCTTAGAGGCTAACAGGTTGGATTCCTATTATTTCAGTGTTGCAGAAGTGAAAATTGGAGTTTCTGTGAAGGGACTGGGCTTCCTGGGTGGCTCAGTGGTAAAGAATCCCAATGCAGGAGATGCAGGTTTGATCTCTGGGTCGGGAAGATCCCCTAGAGAAGGAAATGGCAACCTACTCCAGTATACTTGCCTTGGAAATCCCACGGACAGAGGAGCCTGGCAGGCTACAGTCCATGAGGTCGCTCAGACATGACTTAGTGACTAAACAACAACAATATGAAGGGACCAGCAAGAGTAGCTGGGGCAGAAACAGCAGGAGTGTGGGACAGGGCGGTGGCCTTTCTGGGTTTTAGTCTATGACTCATGGTTTGACTCTGAGCAGGTAACTTCCTTCTTTCAGTTTTCCACCATAAAAGGAGCTAGCAGGGTTGTCTACAAAGATCCCCAAAACAAATCTCAAAATGGGAAAAGGAAAAGGTTGTTTGTCTTGTCTCTTCTTTTCCACAAAGCAAAGTGACTGAGGTGTTCAACAGGCATTAACTGAAGATAACAGAGGGCATCTGAGACTCACTGTGTTAATGGAATTTCCATAAAATTCCAAACTCTCATGACCACCATTTTACTTTCTAAACCATCATTTTCTTTCATGAGAATATTTTGCTTTCTGCTTTTTTTTTTTAATCAAAGGTATTCCATTGCTATCCAAGTGCGCCTTGATCACATTCACGGTTGTCAGGAGATATCCTTTCTTTAGTTTATTTTCATAGAACAGACTCTTATACCTGGAATCCAATTTATGCCTATTGGGGTCAGGAGTAAGTCCTGACCCCAACTTGTCCATGAAAAGGGAATGGAACCCAGGCTTGGGGTCCTAAGGGGCTGTGTCCAGGGCAGTAGCTGCTACCCATGTGGATGACATGGTCTAAGTCCACTCTTTTACTTCCTTCCCAGTTTACTCTTTTCCAAGACTGGGGTTAACTTTAGTCTTTTCTTTAGGCTTCCCATTCAGACAGGCAGCCTTGTGATGACCAGAGAAAAGTTAAGGACTCTTTTCCCCGAGGGAGGTTCTTTTAGAGCAGAATGATTTGAAACCACTAGGCTTTGAACCTCTTCAGTGGGGGACTGGGTGGCACAGACCAGACCCTCAGGACAAAGCCTATCTCCTGCACATCCAATCAGCTGCAGAATTGCTTTGAGTCAGCTTCCCCCATGTCCCCTGTCAGCCCCTCCTTTCTGCCCTTACTTGTTTCTGTTGTTCAGTTACTAAGTCATGTCTGACTCTTTGACCCCATGGACTGCAGCGCACCAGACTTCCCTGTCCTTCACTGTCTCTTGGAGTTTGCTCAAACTCATGTCCATTGAGTCAGTGATGCTGTCTAACCATCACGTCCTCTACCCTTCCTGCTGCCACTGTAAGCAGGTCTCTTTACTGCTGCCCCAGAATGATCTTAACAATATTCCAAACAGTCTTTCTGTTTCTGGTCTCTCTCGGCTCTTGTGTTATAAGTCACGTGAGTTGATCATCAGAACCCTCTAAGATTTATTCCTGATCTAAGTCTGGTGATGAGATTCCACTAGCAGTAAGGAAGAGGTCTGAGAGCTTAGAACACTGGTGTCCTTGTTTCTATTAGCCACTAGGTGGCACCCTCGGCTCTTCCAGAAGTTCCGTAGACTCTAGCACTGTAAAGCCAGGGGCAATCCACCGGGATCTTAGCACAGAGTAAGGATTAGGATCTCTGCAGTCATTCCCAGCTCTTCTACACGTCGGATTCTGCAGAGCCATCTCATGCAGTGGTGCAGGGGTTAACTGCATGGGGCAGCTAAATGAGGGGAGGGGTGGCAGCTCTGATGTAACTCCAGCTGCTCTGGCCAAGCCACATTCCCTGGTGTGAGGCTGTCTCTGGCCAGAGGAAGCAGTGCCTTTTTTTCTCGCTGGCAAACAGGTGCTGTGTGGCGCCAGGGCAGCTCTGCAAAGGGCCCTCTTGCAGACCTTAGTCCTCCCAACCCAGGCACCTGTCCACTACAGAAGCCAATCTACAAAAGCAGTTATATATACATACATACATACATACATATATATATATATATATATATATGTATATATATATTTTGCCCTGCCACGTGGCACATGAAATCTCATTTTCCTGACCAGGGATCGAATCTGTGCTCCCTGCAGTGGAAGCGCAGCATTCCCTGGTGGTGGTTCCCTGGACCACCAGGGAAGTCCCTCAAAGAGTGGTTCTTAAGAGAGGCCCATAAAAAAAATAAAAAAAAATAAAAAAGAGAGAGAGGCCCAGAGATGAGAAACCCTGTCTTGCTGTTCTCCTCACATCAAGTCTGTGAATCTCTGGTCTCCTCCTTGGGACTTGAGAGCATCAGGAGGGTTGGCAGTCACCTTGGTGTCCCTGGAAAGTTAGCTGAGCCCTGCAGAGGACTGATAGAGGGGCCTGATTGGGGAGGGATGGAATGACTGTGTCCAGAGCAGGCTAGCCCAGGAGATGGAATCTCTGGCTTCTAATTCTGGCTCCACGGGTGACACTGGGTCACTCATTTCTTCTGAATGTGACTTGAATTTCCCCCTCTGTGTTAATGGAGACAACCCCTTGCTATTTCCCCTCCCCGGAGGGAGAAACCAGGGAACTTAATTCCATCAAGAGCTGAGAGGTTCCTAGAGGGGACAGGAGGAGCATGTGTGTTTACCTGGGATGCCAGGCCAGGCCCCGTCTGCGGGAGGAGGAGGGAGCTCTGTTGCTGTGGAAAGGGGAGAAGATTCGGTTGTAGACCTGGGTGAAAGGGGAAGAACAAAGCAACAAACGCATAAAATTCAGGCCAGTTGAAAGACATGCTCTACCTGATAATCATCCCCCCCCCCCCCGCTACTTAATCCCCCCAACTCCCCCGGAGCCCTGAGGAAAGGCCGCCACGGGCACTGTCAGGATTGCCACACACAGGTGGAGGCAAATCAGACATGGGGATAAACAGATGTAAACAGCAGTCCCCAAACCAGTCCTTCTGCTTGCCTGCCTGCCTGCCTGCCTAGAGTGGTACAAAGGCTGAGGAGGGTCAAGGAAACCAGCTCTGGGAAAACCAAGGTGGGAAGGAAATGAGGGGGGTGACCACTCAGAATTCAAGCTGGGGCTGAGGGCTTTGGTTTTGCCTGCAGAAGTAGCTGGGATGGCTAGAGAGGCCTAGCCACATCTGCAAAGATGCCAGGTCAAAGGAACGGAGCCATACAGCTCTAAAGGGCAGCCGGCAAGTGCCAGAGGCTCTTGGCAGGACCCAGACATTGTACACTTGGGAGGAAGGGCTAAGAGAGAGCAGGGAAGAGCCCAGGCCAAGCTTCTGGCAACTCTCGCTGGTGGTATGGACGCTACCTGCTTGTTCGCACTGCCTGAGGTCTGCTTCCTCCTTCTTGCTCCAGGAAAACCGTCCATGGAGCGCTCTGCCTGGTTGGTGCTCCTGACAATGGCCTCCCTCTGAGAAGAGCCACAGCCAGGAACTGTCACTCCCATTATGGGAATGGAGCCACCCAACTACCAAAGCACATGACGGGGCAGGTCACCCCATGCACTCGGCACAGAGCAGAACCTTGGGGTCTCTGCTGTCCCGAAGCTGTTCTGGGTCACTGATGTGTAGCATCTACTGAGGCTGACCACTGTACTCTTCAGAATGAAGAAATGCTACACCAGCTTAGTGACAACAGAGGCCCCGAAGGCTGAAGTTTTCCTTCTTACAATACATAGGCAAGAAAAAGAAAATATCATAGGCAAATCTGTAGCCATATGGATGGACCTAGAGATGGCCATACTGAGTGAAGTAAGTCAGATAGAGAAGAAATATCCTGTGACATCCTTTATATATGGAATCTGAAGAGAAATGATTTACCCCAGACAAATGAACTTATTTACAAAGCAGAAAGAGACTCACTGGCTTAGAGAACAAACTTATGGTTGCCGGAGGAATAATGGGGGGACAGCTAGGGAGTTTGGGGTAGACATGTACACACCACTGTATTTTAAATGGATAGCTAACAAGGACCTACTGTGTAGCACAGAGTACTCTGCTCAGGGTTTTGTGGCAGCCTGGATGGGAGGGGAGTTCAGGGGAGAATGGAAACATGTATATGTATGGCTGAGTCCCTTCACTGTTCACTGGAAACTATCATGCCGTTGTTAATTGGCTATATCCCAACACAATATAAAACATTAAAAAATAATAATTAAGTTAAAAATACATAAGCAAGAAAGCTCCTATGAGTAACCCTGTACTGAGAGTCAGAGGTATGAGCACTAATAGTGATCTGACATTTACATTACATTTTGAAACATACAAAGCCCTCTCACATGCATTATTTCAAATAACTCTCAGTAACCTTTTGAGGCAGAGTTTTACTATGATTCCATTTTTAGGGAGAAGAAAAAGGAACCTCAGGTCACGTAGGGCTCTCAAGGAGACCCAGCTAGTAAGTGACTTTTTTTAACCAATGAGTTTTTCTGATTCTAAATACTAAACTGTATTGCCCCTCTGTGTCACACACTAGCCTCATTGGTTTTATGCCTGAGCCAGTTTCACAATACCATTTTTCAAAAAGAAATAGAATTAACTGTTAACTTCCCTTTCCTATGCCAAGAGTAGGATGTATACTGGTTAGTGAATGCAGATACTCACAGATTCACATATGTCCTCATTCATCACCATCATAACACTCTGAGATGACTTGGAAACTAAGGATACCTATCACTGGAGCAGGTGCTAAGGACAGAAGGCAAGATTGCGTTTTTGTTGCATTCTGGATCTCCAAAGCCTCTCTTTGGGATTTGAACAATGGAGGGAAGCTTAGACTTCATCACTTTCAGCTCTAGTTGGTGGAGGTGGGAGAGGGCGGGGCAGTACCATGCAATGCCAAAAAAAAATGGGCTTCTGACAGACTGTTATGGAACTTTCTAGTAGGTCACTGGTGACCTCATAAGACCACCTACCATTCGAGGTTATTTTTAAAGATGTCAGAAAAATCCCTCCACAGAACTCTTGGCATATCAAGCTCAAGAAATGTTAGTTATTACCGTGAATATTCTAATCTGTTTGTTCTTGGCCAAGAAGTTCTCTGTGAGGAACTTCCCTGTTGGAGGAAACCCGAGAATGCTCTGCATAGCCTGTGGGTGGTGCTGCCACTCCACACAAACGGAATTGCAGCTCCCCAAGGGCGGGCGTCTGTTTCCACATCCTGAGTCCTGGGGAGGTTTCCAAGGAACTGGGACTGCGTTTCCCAAAGAGTTCCTCCTTCCTCGTTCTGCCCCGGCTCTGCCACCCTTCACCTTTGGTTTCAACTGGTCATGAAATTAAGTAAGATGGGAGAGGCAAAAGGAGAAATATTCTCAACCTGAAGGGCAATACCAGGTTCCTTCCTCAGGCCCTGAGCTGGATAAGCCGCTCTTGATACCAGAGGGTGAGCCGGTCACCCACCAACCCTAATGTGGCACTAGCGATAAAGGACCCGCTTGCCAGTGCAGGAAACATAAGAGACTCGGGTTCGACCCCTGGGTGGGGAAGATTCCCCTGGAGAAGGAAACTGCATCCCACTCCAGTATTCTTGCCTGGAGAATCCCATGGATTGTCCATAGGGTTGCCAAGAGTTGGACACGACTGAAGTGACTTAGCACACACACACGCACGAGTTGGTCACCCACACCCCAAACTTGGTCCCTAGCAGGCAGGAGCAGCCCTTTACCACCCTTGTCTATATAGAAAACCCCCAGGGTTCTCACCTTGCTGCCCAGGCTGGGTCTGAGATAGCAGGAACTGGGAAACAGACTGTAGGTGTCCTGGAACCAACACGAGCTGCTGGAGTGAGTGGAGGGAGGCCATGTCCTATGTGGGGAGACACAGACATCATAGAATTTACAAGCTGGGAGCATGGGCTCCATCCACCCGCTGCCCGTCTGTCCCAAGGGTATCCACCGGGAGCTTGCCCTATGCCTCCGTGTGTCCCTGTGTTTGGCACATAGCAGCTACCCCGTTAACGCTGCTATTGATACACTGCCTGCCCTCAGTCAAGCCATGCCTTGCAGCCTGTTGTTATTTAACCTTGCCTTGTTATTTAACTTTCGTGTGTGTCAGAACTGTCTCCCAGCTGGACTGATAATGCCCCGAGGACACAGACTGTGGGTATTACCCACCTCTCAGAGGTTTACCTTAGAAATGACAAGCAATCCACTTTTTTTTCTTAATCTCATGCCATTTGATTATACTAAAAGCCATTTTTATCTTGGCCATTTCCAGGGTCTAAACCATTCCTGGAGGAAGAGGCCCGTTACTTGCTCTTAATAAAAACACTTTGATGAAGCAGAAAGTCCATTTCCCCTGGGGGTTCCTCCCATTAGACCCCACAAAGAGAAATACCAGTCCCAATATACAGGGACCTGGGAGTCCTCTGTTATCTAGACCCACAGGAGTCTGTGATCCCCACAGGACTGAGCTTAGGTCTGTGCACAAAGAAAAGACTTGGTAAATTCTTGCTGAAAAGAAGTGAAAGAATAAATGCACATTCTATGCTTAAATATTTCCAGGGAAGAGGCGGCTCTTTCTTCCCTGGGGGAATCCATATCAAATCAGGGACTCATCCTGTGGACACCCAGCCTTCTCAGACATTTGCCATTACTGTTTCAGGAGCCTCTTTATTCCTTCTAGCTTGACAAACTCTTGAGGAAGGAGAATGGGCTTAGTTGGGACAGAAGTGCTCTGTAACCATAGCTGTCACTGTGGGGCTCCACTGAATATGGCTGGCAAACCCCAGCCTCACAGCTGCGAGCTCCATCAATTGACAAGACAGGCTGCTTTTTCTCCTAGAGGGGTGGAGACCTCCCTCTTTGCATAAGTAGCCAGGCTTCATCTTTCTGAGGAGCGTCTGGTAACCCTAACCTCACCTCAGACACCCAAGTTTCCCTGCAGGGGATTCTTTGGCCCGATCTGGATCCACTGAGAACCAGATCCATAGGTGAAGTGTTTTGCAGGAGGCTCGCCTGAAACTCACTGGCCCACTGAGACTATTAGGGCTCCCCGACTCGAGCTGGCATTTACCCCAGACATTTGATTTCCTGGCATCATGGCAGGTCCTTGACTCAGGTGACATGGTCGATGAGAGAGAGTCTGCTGCAGGGAATCGCTGAGGTCCTCAGTTTTAATCTGTAAGTGGAGGCAGGGAGAAGAAGCATCAGTTCAGGACCCCTCAGGCAGACGGAAGGGGAAACTTGTAGAAGAGGGAGGCAGGAGATGCTCAACAAGCCCCGAGAGTCAAAGAACTTGCTCAGCGCCTATTGGGCTGCTTGATTTTCCTGCCTATGTGAGTCAGGGCAGCTGGCAAGGCACAGAGGTTGAGAGGCTCTCAGGGTAAGTGTCCTCGAGACGGGGGATCCACTTGGATTGATTGCTCCTGAACACCATGGTCTGTGCTGGTATGTGCAGCAATATACGTTCTTCCTCACTAAAACTCAAAAAATGAAGAATGGTTGTAGTGACTTCAAACATTTCTTTTGGAATTTTAGATGATATTCTTTTTTCTTGGGGGTGGCATGTTAGAATTTCTTTTTGCAAATGATAATGCTCCTCAATGGTATTTTTATTCCATTTTTTAATTAATTAATTTATTTATGGCTGAGCTGGGTCCCCACTGCTGTGAAGGTTTTTCTCTAGTTGTGGTGAGCAGGGGCTGCTCTCCAGATGCAAGTGCAGGAGCCTCTCTTGTTGTGGAGCATGGGCTTTAGAGTGCACAGGCTTCAGTAGTTGCAGTTTGAGGGCTCAGTAGTTGTGGCGGGATTAGTTGCTTCACATCATGTGGGGTCTTCCCAGATCAGGGATCAAACCCGTGTCTCCTGCATTGGCAGGTGGATTCTTTACCACTGAGCCACCAGGGAAGCCCCCTAAATGGTATTTTTAAAACTCCCCACTTTATAAACTTAAAAAAAAAAAGTGAAAAAGGTAATTCTTTACCAATCTCCCTTATATTCTGTTTTTTATTTTCCTGGTCCACAAAATCCCAAAGTCTGGGAACCAGCTTCCCTCCATCCCCCTGTGTTTTCTACACTAACCTGCCCTCTGTGAGCTGAGCTGCTTTGGCAGTCAGCTTCTTTAGCCATGCGGCTTGGGTGACAGACTTTGCCTGTCTCCCTGCAGGTGGGGACATGCTCCCTCACAGTCACTGCTGAAGTTGCAGCCTGAGGGGCCTGTGGTGGTTTCCACACTCTCTCCAGCTTCTATCACCCTTCAGTGGCAGCACCACCCACCCACCTGTGGGTTTTCCAGGTGTCCAAGGGCAGGGCAGGAAGTTCTACCTGTGCCCACCGCTCCTCCCACCCTGAGAACAACTACCCTCTTGCAGCCTTTAAAAAAGTCCATTGCGGGGGCGGAGGGTGGGTAGGGAGTATGCAAGGGACTTTGAATTCATATAATACAGCAGGGAGCTTGGGATACAGACAGAACCTTATAAAAGACATGGTGGGGCGGGGGTGGGTATGGCTCTGCTGGAACCTCTTGTCCATAGGAATCTTGGCTTAAACCATTCTCTTGGGCTATGCTGGGAATATCACTGACATCCTGGAATCTTTCATGTCTGCATTAGTTTAACACAAGTCAAAGGTGCAGACTAACAGCTCTACCTGTGCTCAACTGCTGTGGGAAAATGGTGCTTTGGATCACTAAAGAAAGAACTCCCTTTAGTTGGAGAGTTAGGAAGATCTTGTTGAGTGACACAGACCGAGGGGGAAGCCCATGTCCTAAACATGGTACTTCGTACCTAGTGGGGACCCAATGTGTGTTAAACTGAATCAAAAACACAAACAGAGTCTCTCTCCCCATCCTCCACTGGGATACAGTGAGGAAAACATTGAACAGGGAGCTAGAACCTGCTTCTAGTCCCAACTCTGACCCTAGTTTACAACATAACCTTGAGCAATCATTTCATCTGTGTGAGACTTGGTTTCCCCATTCTACATGATTTTTCTTTTGCTCCACCAGGTTGCTGCAGTGCTCTTAGATAAAGCAGATTTAAACAGCACCAAGAAGCCCTGCTTGTACCAAAAGTGATAAGAAGATGCTCCTTTTAGGGATGGTCTTTACACATCTTTCCTCTCTTTCCTCGCCTAAGGAGACTATTCTGGAAACTTGGAAGCAAAGAGGAGGAAGTCAGAGTGTCAGAGAACAGCCTAGTGGGGGCAGAGAGTTAGACATCCAGAAAACTCCATGGGCACTGCTCCCCAGGAGTGATCTCCAAAACATCCTCCATCCCCACCCCAAATGCCCTTCAGCTCTCCCCACCCACCATACTTGGCATCTCCATCTAAGAAGTTCCGGTGTCCTAGTTCTTCCCCCAGAAGTTAGAATTTTCACATCCTAGATTCCAGGGAAACATTCGTTAGCAGATTTTTGAAAGCTCAAAATAGATGATAAACTACTTATTTCAGATCACCACCAAGCTCAAGCTTTGCTCAGAGGGGAGATTTTACTTAAGCAAAGCCTCCCTTCCCCACACACCTCTTTTGCACTCCCCTCGTTTTCCCAGGCATCCTTCATCCCCAGTGGGGATAGGTGAGACAGGATGGAGGAAGGGAGACGGAGGGAGAACATGGAAAATCGGAGCTCACAGCACGCTGGTGGAACCGCCGCAGGTAGCTTGGCAGGGTTCCAGCTCGGAGGCAAGTGGCAGGGTTCCTTTATAGACTCATTATGCGCAATGGGGAGATAAGAAGGTGCAGCTATGACAGAGCTTGAAAGCATGCGCTTTGCCTCCAACCTGAGTGCTATCTGTTAGAATCAGTGCCAGGTCTTCCTGCAACACTTAATTTCAGAAACCAGTGCCATCATAAAAGAAAATGCACCCTTTCATTTGCTTTCTGGATCAATTGCCCTCCACACTCTTTCAGGGGTGCTGCCGACCTCCCACTTCTGAAAATGAGGTTCCTGATAGCAAAACATCCCCCTGGGTGTTAGCCTGGGGGTGTTCTGACAACTCCGTGTGTTACTCATCTGAGTTTTTGCTTTATCGACACCTTATTCTTTCATTTTTCATCATTTACTATCCCTTGGGTATGAGTTGCTGATGGTGAACCCCAAAGAAGGCAATCCTGAAGAAACCAATTTGAAAGACAGCAAAGCAGAAGACTTTTCCTGTGACAAGTTCTAAAATCTCCACTTTGGTCAGTGAGTCTCAGAAAGAGCTGAACTGGACTAGGAGGAGGAGAAGACACGGCAGCAACTCTGTCTGCTTCCCACGCCTCTGCCGCCCCCTGCACACTTCTCTGATTACTCTCGGAGAGTTCAGAGGCTAAGAAACTAAGAAATCAAGTCCCTTCCAAATCCAAAAATCCCTCTCACGGCTGTCAAATGGAAAACACTGGAGTCTTTCCAGGCAACTGGGTGTTGGCTGTGGATCAGGACGATGAGATAGGGAGACTTCTGTTGGATCCCATTGACTTATAATGTGAGAACCAGAGGCAAATTGGACGAAAACTCAATTTCCTGCATACTTGTGAAAACCCCACCAAACCCACAGCTTCCCTGAAACTGTGCAGATCACCTGCAGGGTCCCTTTGGAGCGTCTTTTCACTCCAGTAGATTAATTCTCCAGGCCCTGTTATGATGGACTGATCCCTGGGGACATGAGCCACCACAGAGGGCTCTGCCTGGTCAAGGCCCACTCAAGGCCATCATCGATCACTCTGCCCATCTATTAGACACAGTTAGTTAGTTTAGGATCTTCTCCAACCATTATGCTGAGTTACACTGAGTCTTGGGTAGTGACAGAGAGGTAAAGAGGTATCATGGGTAATTATCTTTCCTAATCCCAGCGAACTCCCTGACATCACCTGCTTATAGAAAGCAATACATAGTCTTGTTCTGGGAAGAGAGAGCCCTTTATGATGAACTAAAAACCCTTCAAACTTTCCTTACTTAGCTTCACCTCCCAGTCAGGAAGTTTGAAGACGAGTGCTTATCTTCCTATCTCACGGAGACCAGGAGTGCTTCAGAGATGGGTGTACAGTTACACAACAGGACACTGGCTAAACCCTGACACAGGAATGCTCCTCTGACCCTCCCCTGGCACTCTTTCTACAAAACAGTACTACACACTTCCCGGGGATGGGAGAGAGAACAGACTATAGGTGATGGAAAAGGTGATGCTGTGATCCACACATACACTTGAACCTCCTTATCAACCATCTGATGGGGCACTGGGGGCTGGAGTACTTAGCCTTAGCCCCCTCCCCGTGACATGTCACATGGCCCTCTCCTGGGGGAAAAACAACCCGACACTAATGAATATATCACTGGCAATGAAAACGATCAAAGCTGTAGTGCTAGTTGCATAACTCGTTTGTGGAAAGTGTTTCATAAACATTTCACAAGAAGGAGAATTTCAAAGCGTGAACATCTCCCAACCTGCCTTCAATTACAGGCAAGATTTTTTTTTTTGGTTGTTATTTCTCCCTCCCCCTACCCCCCCGCCCCTTCTATACTTCTCCAGAGCAGTGAGGAAGAGTTTCTGTTTTGTAACTGATCTATAAAAGGGTTGATAAACATTTTGCTAATGAACAATCCTAAAAATACAGTCCAAGTGGTGGAATAGGGAAGGCAGGTAACTCAGATGAACAAGGCTGAGAGTCCCCTAAGAGATGCTGGCTGTATTTTTGCCCAAGGGACTCCCCTTTCTCCATGGCTCATGACTGCTTCCCATGAGTCCAAGGCTCCTGCCCCCTTGGCTCCCCGTGGGAAGTGCCTGGGGAGAAGAGGTGGACTGGATGAGGTCTAGTCAGGTCTATGACAGGCCAGCCTACGTGCACCTTCTTTAAAAAACAGTTTTGTGACTGTTTTCTTTTCAGTTAGGTGTGCTGGGTCTTCATTGCGGTGTGAGGGTTTTCTCCGCTATGGTGAGTGGGGGCTACTCTCTTTTGCAGTGCATGGACTTCCCATTTTGGTAGCTTCTCTTGTAGAGTGGGCTTCCCAAGCACCTTAGTGGTAAAGAATCTGCCTCCAGTGCAGGAGATGTGGGTTCAATCCCTGGGTTGTGAAGATCCCTGGGAGAAGGAAATAGCAACCCACTCTAGTATTCTTGCTTGGGAAATCTCACAGACAGATGAGCCTGGTGGGCTACAGGCCATAGTGTCGCAAAAGAATTGGATACGACTTAGCAA